TATGTCATTCGATTCGTCTCGGCGAGCTGAGTCGAACGGTACCACTCCCTATTTTAGGAAATGATTCTGGGCCGAGTTATAGGTCCCGAAAAATTGAAAAAACATAGGGGGGAGTAAGCTCGATTTTGGGGTGAAAAATTCGAATATGGAAATAATAGCTCATTCGAAAGAGCTCGTCGAGCTGAGTCGAATGCCACCAAAATCATCGAAATCCGACTTGATTTGACAAAGTTATGCTCGCTTGTTTTAGCTCCTTACCTATGGCGCCCGTGGAGGTTTTTGATGCTACTGGAGCCCCTAGTACATCCAGAGCAAGGAAGATGGGACTAGGTTTATGTTACGAGCCCAGACCCAGCGCCCATAGACTCCCCGCGAGGCGCGTGCCGCAAAACTCCGCGCGAAGCGCGGAGTTACACTACACTATATCCGGTACACTACACTATATCCAACACTACACTATATACACCGGTACACTACACTATATCCAAAATTTCAAAATCTTTCTTACACTCACAAAATTTACATATAATTAAACATTATTTATTACAATAATTATAATACAAACAAGATATACAGACAATACAAAATTTGTTTTTTACAAATAAATATTAAGACCTATTTTACATACAAACTATTAGGTTATGAAGAGAATTACGAACACTATATCTATATAATTAATCAACAACGACATCTTCTCTTCATTCCTTCACTTTTGTTGTCCTTATATATTCTTGACATGGTCTCAATTGCTATTCCCGTAACTGCTCCTGCGGATACGCGTTCGGTAAGTGCCTAAAATTTATGAAGAAATTTTTATATTTGAAAGTCTGGGGTTTCTACCATTGATTATTGCCAGTTGGATGAGCTGTTGACGCTTGTACTCGTCAAACTGAAAAATAATAAATTGAAATTTTGTTAAAGTCGATGGTTAAGCATCAACTTACCACAACAGGAACCATCAACTTCTCAATACACTGCTTAGCATTCGCCAACTTTCGAGCACACATCTCATGAGTCAGGTCTTGAACCTCAACGAGCACATGCAGCTTCTCCTCAAGATGGCGCCCTTCAGGCTTCCCGCGCAAGCGTTTCTCCTTTGCTGCGTCCTTGACCGAACCTTTGCCTCTTATCAATATTTTGCATCCGTAGAGCATTTCCAGCTGTCGAACAGAGATGCCACGCGGGCCAAGTATGCGACCAATCAAGTTTTGGCACTTTCCGTCATCGTTGATTGCAGATTCCGGAAACGGTACCTTGACATACATGTGCGTGAGGCCATTCTCGGTCTGTGAAATGAAAGGGAAAATTTTTAGAAAATTTGAATAAAAATGCAAGAAAAACTCACAATTCTCATAGTGGTGAATTGTTCTTCCAGCTCTTGAACGCCTCCGCCGCGAGAACGAAACGGTCGCTTGCCCGATTGAACGCATGGAACGTAAGCAGGCACTGATTGACGTTTAGAGTTGGCCAGTGGAGAAGACGAAGGAATGAACGACGAAGACATCGTGATGAAGAAAACAATATGAAGCAGGTGCGTATTAGATGATTTTTTTGGGTTTTGAAGTATTAGAGTGGGGATTTAAGCTACTTAAGCCTGTTTTTATAGTATGTCGCAAAAACTTTATGCTCCATTTTGTATGTTATTTCGGCATTTATTTGAACTTTGTTCGGTACTTTTGCGTTAATCGACCGCAAAGTGTATACCACCCGACTTTGAACAATTATAACCAATACAAATGAATTTTATAGCATTCGAAAGCCCTCGATAAGCTCTATCTTTTAACAAATGTATGGATCAGCTCTGATCACTCATAAAAAGTTACAAGTCAACAAGTGCAAGAAATCGTTATTTTTAACTATTATCGGGTTATAACTTTTTTAAGTGATCAGCTCATCTATACATTGGGTAAAAGATAGACCTTATCGAGGGCTTCCGAATAATATAGAATTCATTTGTATTGGATCAAGCATAAAAAAGTTATCGGTTGGTGCTCAGTTAACGGAAAGTACCCTTTGTTCTGTTCATTTGAGGTTATCTACGCTGAGATGCCTTCCATTAGAGCTTTAAATTTTCTTAACATTGTAACTGATCAACTGCTTTCCCTTTCACTAATACCAACTGCCTAACAATTAAACAGATATAATATGTACTATGTTTTGTTGGAATGAGATATTCATTATACTTTTAATTTTAATATTTATCCATTTAAAGGTTATCTAGAACACTTGTAACAATAAATTAATAGTTTTATATTGTATAAAATCCTTTCTTCAATTGCTCAATTCCGGTCAATTATAAGTACAGCAATGTGCCAATTGAATGAAAACAATTTAAGTAGTAAATGTCATTCAAATAATGCCATTCAAATAATATTATTATTTATTTTATTAACAAATAAATACAAACTTTAATGTAAACAAAAATAAGGTCGAAAGAGATGAAATTGAATAGCCTCAATTTCTCGCGCAATTAAAAAACCTGAATAACCCTAAAAATAAACAAACATTAAAAACATTAAAATTATTTTTAAATTGTTGTAGAAGTTGATAAGGTTAAGAAGAAAAAGAAAATTATTTTAAAGGAATATTGATATTACTATATTAATCCTGTTAAAGAGATTTTTCATTTTTTCATTTAGAAATTTTCGACTCTAGGCCAATCTAATCCCCCAAAACAGTACTAATATTCGATCTAATTTACGTCCTATTAACGTTTATAGTTGGCTAAGAGGAGCTAACTAAGAGGAGGAGAGAGAGAAGGAGCTTCCAAAAACTAAGAAGAGCTTCCAAAAACTAAGAGGAGCTTCCAAAGCAATATCCTCTATTTAAGATATACCTGATTATAAAGTAAGATTTTTATGTCATGTGTCTAAAATGAAGACATGTCTAATATAAGGGATAAATGTATTAGAAAATTTTAAAATTTTAATATGAATATTAAAAATTGAAAATTATTTTTTGCAGAATTTTGTTAAAATTAAACAAATTTTGATAAAATTAAACAAACAAATGTTTGATAATAAAATAATTATTCAAATCAAACAAACAAACAAACTTTCTGTTTAATTCTCACTTTTTTTATCATTTAAAATTGTTATGTGGACAAAAGCTGTGGACTTCATTTTAGCATTAAATAGCCTATATTTTATTTAATTTTCCTTTTTTGTTATCATTAAAAGGGGATTGTGGACAGAAATGTGGACAAAAAATTATTAGGCTGTGGACAGGCTCTTAAGCTATAAAAAAGGCACCAAAAACTTCATTTTTTCAAACAAAAATTAATTAATTAAAAAAAATATTTCTCTTTCCTAAAATTCTAAAAATGAAGCTCTATATTATTCTAATTATTGTCATGTTTGGATTATTGGCTTATGAAATGGGGGGAATTAATGGAGAAATGTTTAATGATGGTGAGAACGATATGGGATATATCGGTAAGAAATTAAATTTTTTAAATTTTTTAAAAAAATTAATTTAATTTTTTAAAATTAAATTTTTTAATAATTAAAAGCTTTTTGCCTATTTTTAAATCTGGTTGGCTATTGCGGTGGGGGGCTGCTACCTAACCGAAACCCTCACTTTATTATAGGATTTTTCAGCCTTACAATAAGTGAAAAGACTTCAAATGAATTTATAATTTTTATCAACTCTTGCCCTCAAAAAATTTTCAAATTTTTATTATAATTGGGTCTGAAGTAATAATTAACGATAAAATTAGAAAAAGTCATCATTTGAAAGTTAAAATTTAATTAATTAAAAACCCAATTTTAATCTTTATAGAGAACCCAGTTCGTGCCCGTTTTCGCTCTCGCCGTAGCTGTCTTCCTCCAAGTTGTGTTGGAAACTGTTACTCTGGAAACTGCGCTTATTGGTGCAATCTTTGTTATGGCAAATAAAGAATATAAAGGATGTGATGAAATTTTTGCTAAGACATAAAAAAATAAATTTCACAAATATTTTAAATTGTGAATGGAATACATATAGTTGGTAAAAAATAAAATTGAAAAAAATATTTTTTATTGGGACCTTCATTAATAGTTAAATAATGTAAACTGTCTGGGATTAGTACATATGTGTATTATAAACGCGATCCTTGTCCTTTTCAGAAAGGAAAATATTGAAAAAATAGATAATGATAACAAAATTATTTGATAAAATTAATATCATAACTATGTGTAGTATATTAATAGAAAAATTAACCCTATTTGATTGATTTTTGAAATTATTTTTTGAATTAATTTAGACAGCAAATATATTAATGAAAAATTTTTAATTTAAATAATTGGTTCAGTTTGGATCAAATTCAATTTTTCGCACGAAAATATACAAAATCTAATAAAAACTTAACTTTAATTTTGCAAGTTTTATAACTAAAAACATGATTTGCCTTTAATTTATTTTGTTGCTTATCCAAATATTTTTTCATTATTTAAATTTAAAAAAAACCTAAGAAAATTTATTTTATTCACATTTTCATTGTTTTCGTTTGGCTAAATCAACAGCTGTTTTATATTTACAATTAAAGACAAATGAAAGAAAAATATTGATAGGAAATCAGACGAAATAAAATTTTGACAAGAGGGGAAAAATAAATATTGGAAAGTGAAAAAAAAAGAATAAAAAATGGAAGAGAGAAATTCGGAGAAATATATTTGGATCAAACACTTTTTCTGCACTTATTTTACACTTAATAGTGATTTTTAAAATTTAATGTAATAATTTATTTTTTATAAAATTAAATAATAATTAGCTTGGGGAGACATAGATCGGTATTTTCAAAAATCCTGGATTTGGATTCTGGATTTGGATTTAGGTCAGTAACCTGGGCAGGATTCTCGAACTGGATCCAGAAAAAATCCAGGACGATAAAAAAATGCCTGGATCTGGACTCTGAATCCAGGAAAAATCCAGACTTGATCCAGATCCAGACCGATCTACATATAAGAGACATCATATAAACGTGAAATAATTTTTAGAAAAAATTATTTAATTATCAAAAAATGCTTTGGAACGTCTTTTCTCGTTTGCGATCAAGTCGTTCACCTCTCCTTCCAATAATTATGTTAGCTACATTAATATTATATACACTTTTGGGTGCTCTTGCATTTTGTGCTTTAGAATCAGCAAATGAACTTGAAAAAATAGCAAAATGGTCGGCAAGTCACAGACAAAGGGAATTACATGCAAGAGAACGATTACTTGCTGATTTACAGTAAAAAATTTTTTTCTAAAAATTTTGTTTAAGTAAAAATAAATTTCAAATCTATTTAAAATATTTTATAAAAAAATTTGCCTCAGTTCACTTTTATTTCAAGTTTTTGGAGTTTTCAAAGATTACTTCAATATGTATAGGTTGGAGATCGAGATTTTTAAAAGCCTGGACCTGTTCCTGGACTCTGTTTGATTTCTTGACATGGACTGGATCCTGGGCCTGTAGTCCAGGAAAAATCCAGGAAGGTCAAAAACCTGGACTCTGGGTACAGGAAAAACCCAGGCCTTGATCCATGTCCAGTTCGATCTCTAATATAGGTATAGGTTGCTGACAACAATGAAATTAGTTAATGAACAGGAATAATAGAAAAACATGTGTAAATTAACAATCGAGAAATTGTATTAGAAAAAAAATAAAAACTATGAAATATATTTGGAGGCATTTGTAAAATTTCTTTTCAGATATTTCTTTGTTCGCGAAGTCAATGTCACTCGGTTACTTAGTCCAGAATTCCAACACAGTTTGGATTTGTATGACAAAGTAATGGAGTTTGATAGTAAGGGAATAGAACATGGATTATCAAATAAAGATGCTCATGGAAAACGATTTAAGCCAAAATGGAATATTTGGGGAGGTCTTTATTTTGCTGGAACTATTTTTACGACAATTGGTTATGGGGACATTGTGGCTGAAACAATCGGTGGAAAATGTTTAGTTGTGATATATGCGTTGATTGGAATACCTCTTAGTAAGTTAGGAATTTTTAACCTAAAGTTCAGTTTTTTAGATAATGTAAGGATGATTCATCTAGAGCATTTAAAACGTTTAAGCGGGGGCTCATGTGTGTGGTGAGCAAAAGCGCCTAGCAATGACTGTCAAGAGGTCGTAGGTTCGAATCCTGCCCGGTTGCTAAACTTTTTGCTTAACTCTTTCCATAACCTAGGGGTGGAAAAATAATTAATAATTAAAAATGAGGGGTAGATTGATATTGGGTAGGTAGATCGTCCACCAAATTTTATATTTGATTAGTTTTTGCAAGTTTAGAAATTAGGTCGACTGTATTTTTATAAGTTTAAGTTCTTAGTAATTCAAGTGATAATTTTTTTATTTTTCAAGTCATTTCTTTTCTTAATGTTTGGGGAAACGTTCTTCTCCGCGTTGTTCAATGTATTCTTTAATATTTTTATCTCTTATCCAGAAATAACTAAAAACACTTTCAAGCATTTTGGTATGATCATTTGCTTCACAATTTGAAGAAACTGCCTGTTTTAGGAGAAAGGAGGGGAATAGTCCCTATGGAATCTGAAGTTAAGGTTATAAGAAAAATTAGAGAATATTGTTTAATATTTTTAATTTTTAAAGTTTTTGGATGAAGAAAATCAACTAGAAAATTATGAAAATTTAGAAAATAATGAACAAACAAGCAATACAGAAAATAATGAAAATTTTGATATTCAAAGACAAAGTGCTTTGGTTGTTAATAATAATATGGAACAGAAAAATGAGATTAGAGAGTTGCCGCTAAAAGTAAAAAATAAATAAATTTATTCACGTAAAATAATGTGATAACAAATATTTAATTCTATACAATTTTGCTAGTTGCAAAATTACTGCTTTAAAATTGACATAGACAAGCTTAGTTTCTAAAATTTACTTATCAGTTTTACTCCTTCCTACTTTACATTAAGACACAACCTTAATGTAGAGTAGGAAGGAGTAACTCCAATTTAATGTCCCTTCATTATAAGGTCCGATTTTCCAAACAATATCTAAAAGTGAGGTTCAGCTACCATATTATAATAGAAACTTGTTAAAATTAATTAGTTAACCTATAAAAAATTTTTGTCTATTAGATAAGAACAGCTTTAACTTTTTTAAAGATATTATCACTAAATATGTTAACGCACATTTAATCATAATTTCATAAAATAATTCTAAAAATTAAAATAATTATTTTAACTTTATTTTAAAAGGTTGCATTATTATTATTAATCGGTTGGATATTACTTTGTGCAACACTTTTCACAATTTTCCAAAAATGGACATTCCTAGATGCTGCCTATTTCTTCTTTGTTTCATTAACAACAATTGGCAAGAAATTAAAAATTAAATCAAATTAATTTCTTTAAAGGTTTTGGTGATTATACAACAGAACATAAAGTAGCCTGTGCTTATTTTGTTTTAATATTAATTGGACTTGCTGTTGTTTCAATGTCTTTGAGAATTTTACAAATTAAAATGGAAAGTCTTTTTAACAAAATTTGCCGTTCTATAGATTCTGATTTTAAAAATAATTTAATTGGTGAATTTTTTAGAAATTAAATTTTAATATTATTTTGAGGATAATAAAAAATATTTTTTGTTTAAAAAAATATTTTTAGAAGAAAAACAGACACATTCAATCTCAACAAGTACAGATAATAAACTACAAGATATTGAACAAATAAGAGTGAAGAATGGGAAGAATATTGAATTAGGCCGTGTGGAAGATAATGAAGGTAAATTTATTATCAAGGAACACCCCAACGTACCGCGAGGCCAACGTACCGCAGAGCTATAACTTCGTTCAAAATCGTCAAATCCGGGACGCAATGATATGTTTGATTTAGCTCATCGAGATGCATAGAACCATACCAAGGCGTCCCGGATTCGACTATTTTGAACAAAGTTATAGCTCTGCGGTATGTTGGCCTGCTCCCGTTATCAAGGAACGAATTTTTGTGAATTAATAAAATTTTGTAGGCAATACTGATGCTATTTACAAATATCGGAACTCTATGAGTCGTAGCGAAAAATTAATGGTACAAATGTTGATGGGACAACACTGGTAATGAAAATAAATTTAAATTAGTAAATTATTGTTTTTTAAAGGCGTAATATGCTTGACGAAAAACTTCGTTCAAGACGTAAAATGAGGAACAATTCTACACAAACTGATGATTTTTTAACTGATGCCCAAATTCAGACTGAACAAGTTAGAAGTTTACGTCCAATTTCCTCTTTGTTTACAAACCGTTCTGTGGAAGGAGAAGAAACTGATGTGAATTAAAATGAATATTTTTTTAAATTTAGAGAAATTTAGGATGATGAAGTTTCCGATTCAATTGGTCAACTTCCATCAACTCCAATCTCAAAATGTAGTGGAAGTATTTATCGAAGAAATAATACAATGCCTAATGCTGTAGCACGTCAGCATGCACGGGGAAGGGGGTTGGGACGTAAACGAATGTATATTTACAATACTGGTGATTAAATTGTGGAATATTATTAAGTATTTTTATGGGTAAATTTTGATAATTAAATAAAACCTTTAAAAAATTTTAATATAACAATTTTTTATACATACAACAAATTAGGCACAAGGTTAAAAGAAGTGAAAAACAAAAAAATTTGTTTGACAAAGTATAAATATCAGATGGATTATTAGAATATAATAATATGAGTGCCATTTATCACAGAATTTAGGACACTTTTAAGTTCCCAAAATTGAAGGTTCTTCTGAACCTTCAGTTCTTCTGACCTTCTTCTTAATAAAGGTTCTTCTGACCTTTTTCTTCAACTACGTGTTACGTCCTTTGAAACTCCGTCGTTGAAGAAATTGTCAAGAGAAAGTTCCATTTTCATTATCAATCATCGACGCTGAAGATGTTCTAATAATTGTCTGCTAGTACGTTTTGCACCGCTGGGAATTGCACCATTTGCATCCAGTCCAGCAGTGCGCGCAATAGCATCTGCTTGCATTTGGCGACAATAATGAATTAAAACTCTTTGATAATATTCTCGAGGTGTTAATGTTCTGGCTGTAGAGCATAATGAAGTGTTTCTTTAAAAAAGAATGGTGAAAGTTAAAAATAAAATAAATTACAATTCTAATGATTCGCTTGAAGCTAGTTGACGATCAGAATTGAAAGACAATGTGCGGGGTTGCTCGATCCATTTGAAGTAGTAAATGTCCTGAAAAGGGGAAATTATTATCCAAAAATAGGAATTTTAAAAATAAGACCGGAGGAATGAATGGTCTTCCACCTATCCAATTTACATCAGGCTGTCGTCCATTGAGCAAACAATCCAGTAGATATTCCTAAAAAATATTTAATTACATAAAATTAAAAATTAAACACCTCTGGTAATTGCGCAAGTCTGTCAAGCTGATCAGGTGTCAACCCATAATTTTTTTGAAGAAAGGCGACATATGAGAAGACCTTAGAAGATATAATTTTTTGCAAAATATTAATTCAAATTAAATTTTAAAATTATTATTTAATTCCTAGTTTACCTCTCCAAGGTGAATAACCTTCCCACCAATAGTTAGGAAGGATCGTCCTAGTGTCCTTCCATAAAAATGAATATCTTTAATATATTCACTTCCAACTAGATCAATGCACCTATAAATCACAATAATATTTTAAATAAAAAAATATTATTTAACATTGTTGTGATTATTAAACCAACAACAATATAGGCAAGCGTTGCAGGAAGGAAATCAACATTTTGAGGGACTATATCTCCAAATCCAATGGTTGTAACAGTAACAAAACAAAAATAAAAAGCATCAACAAAAGACCAACGTTCCCATAGTTGCATAAGACAAGCTCCCCCAGCAGTATAGCAAAGCATAACTACGAGAATGAAGAGGACAGAAACACGGCGCTCTCGCCCTCCAATGCATTCTTCATCGCCATAATCTTCATCGGGTTCAAGCTATTTATTAAATTGGAATTTTTTAAGAATTTAAAAGATTGATCAATCACTTCTTCCTCTTCAGCCCCACCCAAAGCATCACTACTCTCTACACCCTCAAGCTCATCAGCCCTCGCTCGAGTATCTTCTTCACTGTTCTGTTCTATTTCTTCATGAACTGTTTTGATGTCGGATACGTCTTGGAAGGTTCCGGCTTCAGAAACTGTGTCTAGTTGGGGAGGGGGTGGGGGAGGTTTTAGCCGTTTCTGCGCTCGACGCATTGCTGCTAATCTTAATAAATCCAAATTTAAGTGTAGTTAGCATTATCATGTACCGAAGGTTTGGAGGCTTTAGTCGATCACTAGCTGCTGATTCCTCGTTATTGTTTGTATCCGTTGCAGGGCCAACTGTCTCGCGAGACATTTCTTCTATTGTAGCTAATGCTCCAGAATTCGGGCCGATATGGTTTGATTGATATTGTTGTCTGGATGCTTCCCCTTGTCTTGAGGACCCTAAAAATTTTTTTTAAAAAATTTAGACGTTAAAACAAAAGATGCTCTAACCGGAGACAGTTGATTCACTTGGAGCAATTGTTGTAGCTGTAGCTGATTTGTTTTTTGTTAAAGCCTTTGCAGCTTTAGACTGTTGCATCAATCGCCTCCTTCTCATTCTTCGTCGCCAAAAGTAGATACAGCAACGACACAAGAAAAACCGAAAAAACCAACTTAACCTCCTATAACAACCTCTACGTATAATACGTAAAGTTGAATGGATCCAGACAATGCCATTGGAGAGAAACCGCCCCATATCGGCAATTGTTACCAATACTGAGATTTTGAAGATTTATTTACACTATTAATATTCTCTTTACTAACTTAAAGGAATTCCAAATAATGCGTAAAGAAGGCAAGATATTCGTCCCTGTATTGTTAAAGGCACAATGTGGCCGTAACCAATGGTTGTTATAGCTGTCCAAGAGAAGAAAATACTTGAACCAAACGACCATTTAGTTGGACCCGAACCATAGATGATTTCGTCTGGAGTCATATAATTTTTAGTGTAGTCAATAAATACATCGCTAATTAAATTTTAAAATTATATTTTTTATTTTTCTCTCATTTATCTAAATACCGAATAACAGCATTCATTCCATTATTCGCAAAGTTAGCCCATTGTATAAATTCTGGGTCACTCCAATTAGGGGCATTTTGATTTGTTAATGTCCATAGCTGGACAATAGCACGATCCTTTTAAGAAAAGATTTTGTTAAAATTATGAGCGTTAAATATTTTTACTTTTAATAATTGAACTCTATGTGCAGTCTCATTACGGATATGTTTCTCATTAGGCGTTTCAAAATGATGAAAAATTGCTGCACCTAAAAGTGTATACGCAGCGGATAACAGAATTAGTCCAAAATGGGGGAGAGCGATTCTAAATCGTTGTTTCCATAATTCTTTTCTGTTTTTGGGTTCGTCCCGGAATGTGACGGTCTGTTGCTGTTCATCTACATCAACACGTTCACTAGCTTCTTGGCGGTCGATATAAAGATTGAGTCGTTCCGCACTTGAAATTAAATTTTAATTTTGGGAACTCCTCATAATTTATTCTTTATTTTTTTCTAAAGACAGTTCCCATAATTTAATTTGAAAAAATAAAACAATAGCAAAGTACAGCTATATTTTCTACACAAACTCGACACCTGAGTTCAGCAACATCATTCAAATTGTATAGTGAAGAAGGAAGTGCTGACTGTTGTGGGGGTGCTAAAGTTCTATCACCACCACCTTGGGAAGGAATGGAAGAACGGTGTAAATGATGAGTAGTTGATGGGGAAAGGGTATGTCCAAAGTGGAACATGTGAGAAAAAACAAAGTTGAATAAAATGAAGAAAAATTATTACGAATATTAAGATGGCATTTTATAAATTTTGGACTAATTGACCTTTGAGAAAAATTTCTAAGAAAGGAGATTAAAGTTAAAATTGAGTAAAGCAGCTGGGCTAGAGCTATTTCTCTCCTTTAGCTAGTGCAAAAGGTTATTCGGCGACTGGGAGCGAACCAGCATCTTCAGTAGACAGGACTGATGTGTTAGCCATTGCACCACGCCGCCTACTGCACAGCCTCAGGAATTAAAAAGCTATATGCTTTACAAGTGAGAATAAATTTAAAATTAATTTTTAGAGTTCAAAAATAATTTTTAAAAAGATTTATTTGAAGCATTTTTTTAAATTTTAAAAATCATTTGGATTATTTTTTAAGTAAAATTGTTGGAAATGATTTGTTCTAAAATTGATTTTAGCTTCTGACTTTATTGCCGACAATGAAAGAATTCCATTTCCTATAGATTTTTGTTTAGAGAGCGTCATCTATCTTTTAAGGAAAAGCATGCGCAAATCCCTAGAGGATCTGTAAGGTCAGACCTATATATTAGCCGAAAATTGGAAAGAAGCGGGAAAATGATACAAAGAAATGCTTGTTGCTTAATGCTAAAAATGGAAGAAAGGAAGAGTTTTGATAAAATAGTTTACAAATTTGGAAGAAAGGTAATGGGTAAATTAAGCAATAAATTGAAACTTTAAGAAAGATAAAAAATAAAATAAGGGAATAAAAAAAGTTATTGAAATATTTTGCATAAATATTGGTGGGTTTTCAGGAAAATTTTTAAGAAATATTCAGGATAATACATATAATATATAAATATACTAAGTAATAAATAGACAGACTGGTATTTTTGGAAGAAAAAAGGATAATTTTTGTTTAAAGATATCTTAAAAATATTTTAATATATTGTTACATTAAAATATTTTTTTGCTGTAAAAATGAGCTTATTCATTTTTCGTTTTTACTTAATATTTAAAAATAGAATTAAAATTTTATTTACATTAGAATCTAGCAGTAGGAGTAATTTTTTATTCTCATTAATTTTTGGGACGAGGATTAGGTACCAATCCTCATAAATTGAGATGAGTTTATGAATGAGTTGAGAGTGGCTTGCGGATATATCCGGATACGGGTACAAAATTGTGTTCATTCTCAGCCTGTTGTTAATAAAATGTTTAGAAATTTGAAGGAAAGGTAATAAAGGGTAGATTAAGTAATAAATCAAGTATATTGAAAAATAGTTAGATTTTGTTTTTAAATTAAGAAAAATAAAAATACAAAAGTTTATTTTTAATAAATTACTTTATTAAATAAATTCAATGTTTATGTGAATATTTTACATAATATATTGCTTTTCAGGAAGAATTAAAGAAAATGTTCCGGAATTATTTTAATTTACTTATAATTTTGAGGATTATTTGTTAAGCTTTATAATTCTGGAAATATTTATTTTACAGTAGATTAATTTACTTTTTCTGGGCGATTAGAAAAAATATTCTAAGAATATTTTAATATAATGTTACTTTAAAATATTTTTGAAAATAAATTTTCTGTAAAAATTTTGTAAAAATGATTTTATTTACCTATCTTTAAATTTTACATAATATCTAAAAATCGAATTTAATTTTTATTTATTAAAATTCTATCTCAGACGTTCAATTATGTGTTTTTGGTCTAGTATACTAATTTT